TCTACACAGTTTGTGAACACTTCCAGGGGCAGTGATTCCAACACTTCCCTGTGCAAAATGCTTTAAAGGGTTTCCTTGAAAAAGTATGATCTGCTTTTGATATGACCTGATCTAGAAGTACCAATATTCAGTGCTCATGTAACTTTACCTGTTCAGGTCTCTAAGCAAGATAAGTTAATTCTGGTAGATTCTGAAAGTGGCATTTATCTATTTCATAAAGATATTTCCTGATAAGTGACAAATAGTTGGTGTCCTGCTCTGTACATCAAGGGGACATAAACATGAAATGTCAGTAAGCCCAGAACTGGTAATACAGAGAAGAAGATCACAAAAGTGTGTTTGTGAAGAGGTTCCCACTTTATGTAGTAAATTAAATCACAAAAATGAGTTATTGACCTATGTATTTCTACCAGTATTCATTGCTTGGTCACGAGAAGTATTACAGAGCCTAGGGCCTGGAAAGCAGTTCTGGGCTTAGAACAAAAGTTCATCTTCTGGGCTTGGCATGGAATCTTCACAAAGGGCTTGGTTTTAGAGATGATCCTCACTGTCATCTCTGTCTAAAGAAACCACTGCAGGCCAGTTTTAACACAGTGCCCCCCAGCCAGCTGTGATGGCATGTGATCCTGCTCACTTTATGCAGAGATGCAATGTCCCACTTCAGTGGGAAAGCATGGCAAGATCTGCTCTTTGGTGCCAGTGCTGGTGGGCTGTCACATAGTCAAGGTGTTGCCCGGAGCACTTGCACTCATTGAGGAATGTCTCCCTGCTCCTGTCCCCCTGCCAAGTCCTTCACTTCTCAGCAGGTCCCTCAAGCCCCACTGATGTCCTTCTCAGTGCGGCAGGGCTGGGGAGGATGGACAGGAGAAGCCCATGTGTTGCTTTACACTCAGGTGGGCTTGTAGTCTCACCAGGATGACTTTCAGAGCCCAGGGACCTCTTCTGCAATTGTTAATCCCAAATGCAAGTGGTCCATGAAGGGGAAGCAGTAAATCCTGGCTTTAGTTTGCTTCATCTAGTGGGTACTTCCTCTGCAAAGACCTGAATCACACCTGAGTCCTCCCATATCCATGCCCATCTCTTTCTCTGTCTTGTATAGTTCTTCAGAATAATTTGTTTGTCTTGGTGCAATATCCCTGTCTGGTAACCTGAGATACTAGAAGGTTTTGTGATGTTTTTAGAAACCTGGAAATGGCATTGTCTGGTCTGGGCTTTGTACAGAAATCCTTTTGTTTGTTCTGCTGTAGTTTGGCTTGAGTTAAGGGAGATTTCATTGTAACTGTCTGGCCTTAAAGACAGATCACCTCTGTGTGTGGTGATCCCTATGTAAGCTGCAGTCTTGTAGGGTCTCCCACCTGTGTTTTCCTGGGTGTGCAGTGTGTGAGGCTAAGGGCTTCTGCTTCACATGCAGCTGCAGAGCGGGTATTGCAAGAAGTAGTCTAATCATATCGTAGTAAGCTGCAAGAAAGGCAATCAACCTGATAGTAAGTAGTAACGTTATAGTAGTTATGCACTTATCAGAGATAGAGCATATTTTGCAGGTGGCATAAAACATAGATGAGTTAATACCAGGCCAGACTATCAGGAACTTCCAAAGGTTCGAGCCAAGCCAGATGAGCAGGGAGCTTGAGGCAAAATGTGCCATCAATAAAACCAGAAGTCTTACACCAAAGGCAACAACTGGAGCTACTCAGTTCACTTGACAGTAAACCAAATGCAACAGCTCAGGAAAGGGATCAGATATCTGATTCCTGTTACTAGGTACCAGAAATCCAAAAAGCAAACAAGTGAGTGTAACAAATGTCAAAACCAGTCGAGGAAATTCTTGTTCAGTTGCTGCAGAACTTAGCAGGGGTGTTTGTTACCATAATACATCATCGAGCTTCACGTTCTGGAAATGAACAAAATGAGGCTGGCTGTGTGTGACCTGCAAATAGTGTCAATGCAGCTGCTGTGCTGAAGCTGTAATGAGCAAGGTCACATCGACAAAGGCTTTGCAGGGCAAGGTGAATTGCTGGTGGTTGTAGAAGGCAGGGGAGAAGGGGTGATTCAGTGTGAAGCAATGAGTCCCCCAGAAACCTGCTCTCCCTTCCTGCCTGTGAAGCACCAGACTTCCTTCCCTCTCTGCTCTCCAAGGTTTTATCATGTGGTTTTCAGCCACATGAGGATTTTGGATGTGGCTCACAGCACTGAGAAAGAAATAAAAAGAAGTGTCTGCGGCTAAAAAGGATAGTCAGATACTTGTAACAGCAAATACTAAGAACTAAGCCTCCTAAAGCTTGCAAAGGAATAAATGCTTCATGGTTTTA